TCTGTACTGGAATACATTTTAAAAGTAACCTTCCCAACACTGTTAACACATTATATTCATCAAAGTGTTTAGAATTTCCTGTAAATACATCTATATAAAACATTTCTCCCTTTATAAAAAAAAGACGTGATTTTCATTTTTTATTTCGCATGACACTGTTCACAGCAAGTCGATGATGAAGGTGGTAGCAAACTGCTGAGTCCAGTGCTGAGACTGAACTTTCAACATCAACTTTGAAACCAACAGGGAAGTCTTTAAAAAGCTCAGAAGAACTAAAATTTGCAATCTAATGAGAACTTGATCCATAAAGGAAGATTATGTGGGGAAGCCCCCAAAAAGCAGCTGTCAGATAGTTTTATGGAGACAGTTCTGGCAGATGGTGCGCAGGGCTGGCATGTGCAAAACGATTTGCATGTCTTTTGAGCCTTTTTGTACTGCTCGGTCACTGCAAAGCCAAACCAATAAGACTGGAACCACCTATGTCACATGACAGTGTTTCAAACATTGGCTCAACATTGGTATTAGCTGATATCTGTATTGGTTGACATCGGCTTTCCTGGTCGATATCAAATCATTGGTATTTCACAGTCTGCAAACGCTCCAATAACTATTTAATTGTTTTAGTCAACAATAATTTTCTGGGCCTTTTTTAAAATGCATTTTTCTTTACACTTTGAAACTGTTAAAACTTTCGTGAAAAACTGTAAAAGATATTTTGATGATTATTTAATATTATACACTAAATGACTCATTTAGAAACCCATATGGCATTATCAAACAGTTGGATTGTGGCCCTTTTATTAAACACAACCTTTTTTTGTCTTTATAAATATTCAGAAACCAGAGTCACAAAATTAAAACTCACCACAGAACACAGAGCACATTTTCTCTAATGTGGCTTCACGCTGATTTACCACAGAGGTAGCAGCATTACAGACAGCCTACCCAGTGTCACACTGACACAAATGTTAAATACGGGGGCGGCTTGTCTATAGACTCTTATATGCTTCATGATAGAAGTAAACAGGTCAGAACCAAACATCAAAGCCAGCTGTTTTACCATCCAAATCTTGTCAGTGTGAGGTTTCAAAGCAAAAGATTCCCCTGCATAGTACTTCAAAACCCCCTTTTATAAATGCTGAGTACACGCTCATTCACACAAAGGCTAATTCATAAATCACCCGACAAGGAAATGAGCAGTGCAAACGCTGATTTTACTACAGCCATGTTTGAGCAATCATTTAAAGGGGAAATGTGCACACTACACCTTTTGCAAACAGTGAGGGAACAAATAAAGCCCTCTCCCATGTGCTAAGGGGCATACAGTCAGGAAAGTAAAGGGACAACTAGTGACCATGGACGACAATGACGTTCGATGACTTGGAGCGACGACAGGCAAAATAACCTTTAGTAATAACTGGTGAACTATTACCAACTTTAAAGTGAATGATTGAAATGACCGTCGGTGGAATGGAAGGATGCCACATGGTGACAAATTATAAGGCTGCCTACAGGAGCACATCTACAAGTGAATCGCTTTATATGTGAACGGCAGCTTTAGTAGTTAACCTGACTTGCACTGTGCAAGGGGATTACAGCTGCCATCGGTCTGTTTAAAGCGGACAGCAGCAAATAGGATAGGCAAATAGGCCTCAAGAGCAAGCCGGCACTTAATGTAAGATCCAACCAGATGCAGGTCAGCGGCACAGTTTGGTTCATATTCTGGTTTCTTTTGTGATAAAACCTTCCAAAACTTCAAAAGATTTCACAGAAAAATTTAAATAAAGCCAAATAATCGGTGTCTTTGTACATTCAGGTGCTAAATAAGAGCTTCCTATCAACAACTGATTAAAAAAAAAAGGAGAAAATATTTTACAACTGAAGACACTTATTGACTAATTCTGTACAATCACCAACTGTCATGGTCCTGGGTCATTTTGACCGAGTGTTCTCAGTTTTCCTGTGGTTTTGTATTTTGTTCCTTGTTGTTCCGTGTTGCGTCGTCCCTCTAGGTTGTGTGCATTTCCCGTGTCTTCCCAGCGCCTCAGCTTTAGTTTCTCCCAGTATAGTTTTGTATGTCTTCTTATGTTCCTGTTAATAAAGACCTGCCTTTGAGTTCATCCCCGTGTGTCTAGAGCCGTGCATTTGGGTCCTCTCTTGCCTTCACACAGCCGCCGCATGACGCTAACTAGTTCAGTCTCAGTGAACTACACCAAACTCAGATTTAAAGCTTTAACACAAATAAAGGTGAACTTTTCTTTTTGTAAGGTCGCTTAACTTTGAATATTTTGCAGCATCCAGGTGCTAAACGCTGAGAATGGCCGTTTCAAGCCAAAATTTGATATTTGATATTCACTTGGAGCTCATTGAGTGAGATTCAAAAATTCTGGATTTTATTCTTTTTAAAATTAGTTTTCATTATCTTTGGTCTGTGGTCATCTTTGGCTTTCTCTAGCTTCCTTTGTGTGTATATCGCACCTAGTGTAACTACACTTGACTTGATTCACCAGTCCAGCAGCTGCTGGTTCACAAGCTTCTTCGCTTTGTGCTGTTTAGCAGTTGCTGGCACACATCCATACTAAACAGCCAGACAACCCCGCCAAAAGCGAACAAACAAAAAGAATCATTTTTATCTGAATGGGTCAGATCGATGTTTATATGCGCAACTGTTGGTCATCAATACACAATTTGTGGCTAAACCATGAAATTAAAGCCTTAAGAAGCTATTCGTTTAATGCTTTACAATATGGCTGCAAAATATTTAAATTAAAACAGCACATTGTAAATGGTCTTTCAACCACAGGAAGCCAGGCAGGCCATAACTATGAAGTACATGTGGACAAAAAGCATCCAGGCAAATCTAGTGTTAGCGACTGAGCGTGGCTGTCGGTCACCTTGCAATGTGGTCATTTTGGAATCTGCATTCTGCAGTGAGGTGACCATTGTAACCTCCATGAGAGCAGCATATACACTTTCTACTCTCTTACCGTCACCCACCCTGGGAAATACTCATTTGCCGCAATGTCACTTCTTTAAAACAGACTTCCCCAAACAGAGACAGTCATAGTAGTCAAAGCTAAATGATGACACTCTGTAGGCGGTGTTTGCATTCTCACAGAGGTGGGAAGTAACAAAGTACAAATACTAATAATCAGATTTTCAAAACAAGACTCAATACTTTTGGTTTAATTTGAGGGGAGTTTTTTTGTCATGTCACTGCAGGCCTTCAAACATTAAACCGATTTAAGCCTGAACCGTAACACATGAAAGGCAATCCTGTTCATGTGTTGATCACCAATAAAAAACTGTGTGCCATAGTCAGAGGTTAAAGTGTATTAAGTGTAGTATTTTTTTGGCACAACACTGGAACAAACTATGCGCGGAAATACTCTTTTGTACAGGATAAACAGGTTAGTTTGCTGTACTGTGATGGATCAGTGCGGGACTGGTGCGCAGCAGCGGTGGTTCCATGATCAGAGTTAGGTTACATCAAGTGTAGCAGAGGAGAATCTGAAGTTAAGCTGATGATGCTGAGAATTATTGGGTATAAAGACATTATAAACAGTGTACTGTCAGTGTAGACGATGGAAATCAACCAGGACAGCTCATGAAACATCTGCTTAATTCAGGTGTGTAAACCCACAGCTGATCACAGCCTGTACACTAAGAAAATCTACCGGAGCTCTCAATAGAAATTATTGAGAGTTGTGATTCTTTTCCTCACACTGAGCCACTACAACAGATTTATTGGGTTCTCCACCTGCTGAAACTGCTTTAACCTCTTCTCTACGCATTTTCCTGTTAAGAGGCAAAGTCCCCCCTTCAATGTAGGCAACATAAAATAACGCCACTTTTTTATAACATTTCCTTCTTTTTCTCTGTTCGTGTTACACTTACTGATTCAAGCTGAGTATATTTATTAGAATTAAAATTCAGGCAACTTTTTTTTCAGGCAACTATTAATATAACACAAGGTTCAATTAGCTTTGTGTACAAATAGTTGGAAAAAATATTCTTTAAGGAGCTACTTTTATTTTCTTATTTTGTGTACATTTCAGAACTTGTACTTTTTCACTTTTACTTGAGTAAAGAAGATGAATCATTATTTCTACTTTTACTAGAGTATTTTTTTTAACAGTACCTGTACTTCTACTTAAGTACAGAAAGTCTGTACTTCTGCCCCATCCGCATTCTCAACATTAAAGCGGGGAAAATGAAACTGAACCGTGTTTACATTAGGAGCTGCTATCATGTTTTATGGTATTAAACCTGCAAGTATAAGACAAACGAGCATGACCTCAGTTTCCTCAGTGTCGCATCATCAACAGCAGAAGGGGAAAAAACAGAGTCACCAAAATATTCCCAGTGGGAAAATGATTGCTGATGCTTAACTGTGAGTTTATCCCTCCTTTATTCCCAGTGAGGCTAATGTAGCAAGCTATTTAGCAGCTCTTGCCCATTCGATCATCTTGCTACTGTTTATGGACTGTTAGAGAAGTTTAAAGACCCCGACATGTCTAAGGAGTGCCGCAAGAGCCATTAAACAGAAGTTGACAGGTACTTATCCAATGAGGTGTTCTTTTGCACTAGTGACCGACTTCTCTAAACCGAAAACACGCAGTTCGCCGTGTCATTAACTGTGAGCTTATTAACCCGGTAAATGCTATTAGGTGGGAAAAAGCTTATTTATAGACAGCTGCGACGGAAAGAAAACAAGAGCAGCCGGTGACATAACACTGTTCAAAACCACCTGGTAGTGAACGAACTATACACCGGGGTAGGGGAGTATTGTGCAGTATACCCCGCTGTTCGTGACAAACCACCGAGCGCAGAAGGGGAAGGGAACTCACCCAGAAGGGAAGCTTTGGTCCGCACAACCGCTCCATCTCGGTCACAACGGGAGGCGGGGAACCACCGGAGAGCTCTGCGTGCACGTTCTACAGGTCGAGCTCTTTGTAGCCAAACGACCTGCTTTCCTGTTCCTTCTCGTAACTGGACGCCCTCTAACCGTCACATGCCACACATACGAGAGCACTGTAGCGGAGTTGGTTCGGGTGTCTGTACCGCGCTCCCCTCTCTCTCCACAGCGTG